ACTTGGCGTCTGCAAGAAGCCCTATGACACCTTACCAGAAGCCGCAAAGTTACGTTTCAGAAGGTGGTCTCGACATTAGTTTATAGTATGTCAATAAAATTGCATCTTCGAATGATATCCTGGTGGAATATAAAAGTTCCAATTTGGCATAATAGAATATTTTAAGGAAAACAAACAGTTTTGAAAATATAACGTATGAAATTACCTGATGTACAGTGTGCGTGCGGGGGAAGATAAAATAAGAAAATATTTTTTTGCTGCGGGCCAGAAGTTCATCACCGATATCCGGTATGTCGTAAAAGATGTCATCCAGTCTTTCGTTCATCTTTAAAAAATAAGAATGCATGGGAGGTACAGTGCTCATAACATCTCATATAAACTGGTGCAACATTTCCCATATACTTTCTAATAGCAATGATAACTTAAAGGCAAAGGTTATTTTGAAATGGCAGCATATACTGCTCTACAAAAAGGCCTATAAAGCCCTGGAGGCAGTCTCATTAAACGGAATAGCAGTGTTACGTATGCCAATGCTGAATCCACATAGACAACCCAAAATGCACATAAAGGTATCTTAATCAGTATGCTTGAGAGTGCATGCCTCGCCTGAGTGCATGGCTTCCCTGAACTCGCAGCCTTTCCTCATTCGGTAAACGCCAAAGATACGGCAGTTCTTTCGTGCCCATGAATGTACTATATCCAATGTTTGCAAAGTGGTCCGGGAAAAAGAGAATAGCCTCTTTACTGCTAGCTGGTGGTCAGGTGTATGAATGAGTGATACTTTCCGGTTTGGCCACAAAATACCGCATCACAACTGGCGCTGTCTTTCAACAAGCTCAAGTACATTATTCACGCATGCGATAGTTCCCATAGAGACTGTTTGGGCGTCTGGGAGGATAGGTACACCGGTGTACAAAATCGGAAGCATACCGATTTTGTAAAATAAATTGAAAACGTGCCTCATTTTGCTTCTTCGCCTGAACAATGAATCTGAGCATGATCGAGAAAAGTGTACACAAATCTCCGTTTGTGGAATAATTGATGGCTGCCACTACGATGCACGATAAACTAAGAGTTTATACTTTTGTTATAAAACGAAATATTTGGCGTCTCATAATCCGCTCCATGTACGACCGCATCTAGATCTATGCTTCTAAAGTAAAGTTAATCCCTGGAAAAGAGGATCTGAGGTAATTGTGAAACATTTCTAATTGAGTTATGCACATTTTGGACACAAGATGGCTTTCCGCATCGCTGACGCATATCCCAACAGCAAAAGCCATCACATCGGGTAAGCAATGTAGTCCGGCGCGATGTACACAAATGGAGACGGGCGAGTTTTACAAAGCACTTGAGAAAAAAAGATAATGCATTTGGCGGAACAAGAAGAGTAGAGGACCCATGTTTCGGATTCTCGTTCGAACCCTTTACCTGACAGAACCGCAGATAAGAGTAGAGACGATAAATACCGTCCTTTCTCCCCTCGGTGTTGCTGCATGTGCGGTTCTTTGTGTCCAAAGTAATCTTTCGGTTTCTCTTACGTGGATGCTTTGCCCAACTTGAACCTACGGCTCACATTTCTGACAGCTGA